GGGGGGGGGGGGGGGCGTGCTCTTATGTTGTTGCATGCCTTAGCGGTTAGACCATTGACCACGCGTCCTCGAGAGGAGGACGGAGCATTGTTCCCACAGGACCGATCATCGATGGCCAATTTTTCCTTCCTACTTTGCGCGTCCTCGAGAGGACGGAGAATTTGTTCCCACAGGAAAGATCACCGATGGACAATTCGTTCCTTGGGGGGGAAGGCAATAACCAGAGGTAACAAACTTGGCCCAGCAACGGATCTGTCGGCTGGATGACGTGCATGTAGCCCGGATGATGCAATTCCAAGATGCACCAACAGCGCTCAACGCAAAAAGCTGCCTGAGACGAGACAACAAAACTACTCGGGGTATCATCTTCTCCCTCGCCCTCTTGACCGACGGCTTGACGAGCTCCATACCGTAGGTGACATGACATGGCATAAGATACCCCCCCCCCCGGACCGATTTTCGAAGCTCGATTACTCCACGACGAACAGGATGCCGAAATCAAACAATACGTTTTCGGAAAGCTCTCGACGAGACTGTTCCAACCCCCACAATTGTCGGCATCGCCAATGTTTTTCTTCCGAGTAATCGAGCTTTGGTAATCGGCCCAGGGGGGGTGAGTGTGATATCTTATGCAACCAACGGCAAAAAGGCTACAATATCGTCTTCCGCTCCCCCCGAAGAAAGTAGCCTTCGAAAAGACAGAGCAAAGGGCAGAGCCAATTATTAAAAGCCAATCAATAATAGTGGCTTCTCCCGAGGTGCCTTCCCTCCCTACCGTAGGCGCCAAAAAACTGGACTCGATCAAATGGGTGGAAAGAGCTAGTTCTTGTGTACACAGAGGGAAGAGAGTGCTGCACTCTTCTCGCATCAAAAACTCGAAGGCAAAGCACCGCAGGAGGGGTGGGCAGGGGGCCTCAAGGGAGGGGAACCCTTCTGTGTGACCACGGGTTGGAGCAAACGGCACAAACGCTGCGAGGACTGACTTGAAGTGAGACAAAAAACAAACAAAAAAAACTCTCCAGCTTTCCAAGACGGTAGTGCTGTGGACAGGGTCCCACATACCGGTAAACTCGCCGCCTGCCGAACGACAACTGCTCTTTCGTTGCGCACACTGAACATTGCTTCCCCCCCTCGACTTTCGCCTTCAAGCACCTCTCACCTCTCATTCTCGGCGAAGATCTGCTCGAGCAAAGGTCCCTGCATCTTGACGCTCGCGTCGATGTCGGCCTTGAACGGCTGTAGACCTGCCAGAGCGTGCTCCACGGCGACATGGTAGGCCTCGGGGGTGCCGCCGCCGTTACGCCCCGCCACTGCCAGCTCGTTCGCGACAGTCCTGAGACCAACCAAGAGAAACTATTTAGGCCTGTACTGCGTAGAGGCGATTGCCTGATATTTTCGCTGTCGATTTTTGTTAATATTTATACTGAAAATAGAGTGGAGGAAAAGTTAAGTGTATTTAAATCGCGAAAAAAAAACGCCTAAATTACGGAGTACAGGCCTAAAAATATTTCAGCAAGCAGGGTAGCAGGTGTCAAGCAGGTGTCCCGTCCATCAACCGTCAAGATAAACAATTCATCAACACGCCCTCCCTTGAACGGGATACAGTCAGTATTATCTCACAACGGGTGGTCTCTTCGATGTATTGTACACACTGCATTTTCAAAAAAGGAAGGACACACAAACGTATTTTCATCCCGGCCACCACCAGCTCGTTTTGACGGTCCTGAAATGTTCCAGCAGTAACAGGCGTCCGTCACAAAGCCGTTACGACTTACACTTCAACAACACACCCTTCCCTCCAGCGGGATACGGTATTTCATATGCGTTACCTCAAACGGGTAGTCTAAATTTCTTTGATGCTATGTACATACGAAGTAGTGTAGTATTTTCTAAATAAAAGGAACACGCACAAACGTTGTTCATCGCTTCGAAATTCTTCGGTGGTAGAGATTCAGGACATGCTTCCAAAACTAACCATCTGAGCAATGGGCTACTCCCGAAACGCAGCCGGCATGTATGTGCGTCTCACCATGTCGCTGACGTCTGCTGCTGCCGCTGCTGCTGCTTTGGCTTTGGTGTTCTGACATGCTATGCTGGACGAACGCGGTACTGTGCTTGGAGCTCAAGGCTTAGTCGTTTCCGACAACTCCATCGCATACACCGCCAGCTCCATAATAGCCTCCAAGCCAGGCGCAGATGATAAGGTACATGCACATAATTTTATGTGCCTTATCTGTTGCGTCTGGACTGCAGACTATGACGGAGCTGGCCGCGGAGACGATCGGGTTGTCCGAAAGGACTAAGCCTCGAGCACCAAGCACAGTACCGTGTTCGTCCATCGCAGGATGTGAGAACACCAAAGCCACAGCAGCAGACGTCAGCGACATAGTGAGACGCACATCCATGCCGGTTGCCCTTCGGGAGTAGCCCATTTCTCAGGCGCGGGCGCATAGGTAGAGGCAGATAGGTGCTGGTGTTGGAAGCATGCCGTAGTGTACGAGGATCGTTTTTACATTTCCTTTTTTCCTCTATTGAAATGGTTCAGGCCATTTGAGGGTCTAGAGGAAACTCGACTCTTCCATCGGTTCCGCAATAATTTTGCGACATCACATGTGTTGGCGACAGCAAGTAGGGTAGCAGTTGGCCGTCAAACAACCGTCACGACCATCATATAAGACTTCATCAGCAGCCTTGAACACTGTACGGTAATATCTCACAACGGGTAGTCTTTTGTCTTTGATTTTATGCTATGTGCACGTTTTCTAAAAGGAAGGCACACAATGGAATTAATTTCGGCCACACGCCAGCTCGTTCACGACGGTCCTGAAATGTTCCAGCCAGCAGTAAGAGGCGTCCGTCACACAACCGACACGATAAAAACTTCATCAACGCACCCCTCCCTCCAACGGGATACAGTATTACATATTCTCTATCTCAAACGGGTAGCCTATCTATTGCTTTGATGTCATGTGCATATTAGTATTTTCCAAGAGGAACACACACAAACGTCTTCATCGCTTCGAAATTCTCAAGTAGAGAGTCAGGACACGTTTCCACCCACAGACCATCAGAGCATGTGCTTTGGCGTGCATCGGAGCCACGTCAACAGGCTCTCGATAACATCTTTCACCTCACCCTTTCAACTCGCAACACCCGTGCCAGAAGATTTTCATTCCACCCCTTCAGGGCTATGCGTATGATTCAGATTGCCGGACTAGCGGTACAGCCGTCGAACCTCAACTCCCATCTCTACCAAAACGCGGGAACGCCGTGCGGTACTGCCGTCAAACCCTTGGCTACCAGTAATCCAAAAAAGCTGATGCCAGTTAGGCAACTGATGATCTGACATGATGCGTGTGCAGCATGGTGTGTCCATAACGACAGCAGGCCAGTCGAAAACTGAAAAGTCATCACGTGCCTGAGCGGGCCTACGACCCCAGTAGATGGCGGGGTGCAGCTGACGCTGGCGCTGCTGTAGGTCTTC